CTTAGAGCACTATTTCTTTCAAAACGTCTCTCTTACACACACACACATACACACACTAGCCAGCTAGTTGTGAATAACACGCATACAAAGAGTTTAATTGGTAAGGCGTGTTGAACCCGCTTGCATTATAGATGTATGATGATTTTCCTGACGGAGAAAAGCCAGTTTTCTGCCTCAGCTAACTCTCTGTTTTTGATTAGTGGACTAAGTTCGTTAATTAGTATGCTTTACTAAAATAAATACTCATTGTGTAGAGTAGTAAATTAATGTTGGCCAAATGCCCCATAAAAATATTTTCAAATAAATATACACTCTGCAATCATTAAATTGAAATAGTGAGGCTGTCGCTATCAAATTGATGTACAGAAAATGAACCCAGCAGACACACAGCATCATAAGACATTAATATTAGGTTAGATTTAGACCACCAGTGTCTAAGGACAATGCTATTTTGACGTCCAATAATGAGGTATACACCGAGCTAGTGTGTTTTCCATACTGATACACTTCCAGTGACCTGTTATTGTGAGGTTTTTTTTCTATTTAATACAGTTCCTTTTACAGCATCAATGTTGTAATGTAATTCAAATGCAATTGATTAAACAAAAAGCCGTTTACTCGCACGTGCCCGTCAGTATTGGCAGGCTAGCGCCGAAGCTCCATTGAATATACTGGGGTAAAATAAATGCTCATATTATAAAGACATCGCGGGGAAAATGTAATTTAATGTGGTGCTTCTTGTACAATCTGAGACCCACTTTATTTCCGATATCACTCAGCCAGTGGAGATCGCTGATTTTTAAAGAAAACGGACCTTAAACGATACAATTTTGCATTGTCATACAATTAGCTGGAAACGATTAGCCCAGGTTCCTGGCAAATTAAAAGTCCTATTAGCATGCTTCGGCATATACCCCAATAATTACATGAAATCTCGTTGATATTTGGTTGATTTTTGCTTGTGTTGGAAAGTGACCAAAATCCAACGTCCTATTGATTTTAAATTCTGACATTTATTCGTAAGGTATGGCAAAATCATCAAAGACGTCATAGTGGTAAAGTCCTAACTTCATTAGACGTTGATATTTGGTTGTTTTTAAGTCAACCCAGGCTCATTCTGAAAACGCAGTCCCGTGAACGTTTCTGGAGACCTTGAAATACATCCTGGGAGATACGTATTTTTGCAGTTTTTGAGGCCACTGTGTCTGCTTTTTCGCATCGCAAATGTCTCTCGCAAGTGCCGTTCGCACCCGCGCTGTTTTCACATAAACCCACCAAAGACCGCTGTGGATCGACTGAATAATTGACTGGGCGACCGGCCAATCGACCGACCTACCCTCCTTCCCTGAACCCAACCAATTTTACCGATTGACCCGCCCGCTTGCTTACTACCCTAAACCCAACCGACCGGTTTACGAAAACTGCTAAGAAAAAGAAAAGCCCTCATCTGATTTTTACCACGTTTTCTGATTTTGCCACATTCTCTCCCTGTTATTCACTCGTACATTTTATTTTTTGGATTCTGTTTTTGTCTTACCTGATTTCTGGAACCGCTCTTCCCAGACTCTAACCCGGTCATCGTCGTCGTAGTCAGCTCCTCTCTGTGGCTCAAGTCCGCCGACATACACGACGAGCTAACCGGACAAACTGGTTGCGGTGGGAAAGCCCTCCACACGGAGATAAGCGGTCAGCCCGTAAGCGCCGAAAGGAACAGCTTCATACCGCCCCATAGCGTTCGATTTAAAAAATGAAAAGCAGCCATACGTACCTCCAGCTACATAATTTGCGGTCTCCAGGAATGACTACGTTTTCAGAATGAGCCTGTGTTGTTTTAAGTTCAGTTGAAAAGTATCCAAAATGCAACGTCTGTCGTTAGTTTTAAGGTGAACTGTTCATCAATGCAAGTTAATCATCAGAATAAGGTTGTTTTTAATAGTGTTCAATCAAAACTGACCATTTGCTTCTGCTCTGGAATTCCAATTCTTTTCTGATGATGTCAGTCTGAATGCTTGGGCGGAGTCTGCTTAGCCACGCCCTGTTAGTTTGTTTCCTGCAAGTGAAAAATGAAGAAGCACAAAAATAAAACCCAGACCCTACTGTATTTCGTTTCAGTAGATAATACGCAGTGGTGGATGGAGTACTGACAAATCATACTCAATTAAAAGTACCGTTAATTACCCAAAAAATGTAGTGCAAGTAGAGTAAAAGTATCTGTTGTAAATATTACTTAAAGTATGAGTAAAAAGTAGACCCATCAAAAGTACTCGAGTAGTATTACACTTTAAAAAGCTGATGCGTTTGCATGTTATTTGTGTTTGTGTGTAAACGTAACATTCTGTAGTGCATTTAGTTATTGCTCAGCAGCCCCACAACGTCATAAAACATTAATATTAGGTTAGATTTAGGTTGTGATGTCAGGTGACCAAAATTCAAGTATATCCTGCATCTAAGTGTAACAGGTTATAAAAGTGCTTCCACTTGCTTTTCTTTTATGTACATGGCCCTTTAATTCTAAATGACCCTCGTCTCTGTTCATTGGCTGGTGGCATGTTGTTAACTGGTTCCGGACGAGTCATTATTCGCGCAAGCTAAGGGAGTGGTCGTGGTGAGTGAGTGCTCCTGTAAAGTGTATATTTTTGTTGATCTTTTTGTTTTGATTATTCACAATGTATCTTTTCTTTGTGATTTTATGATTACTGGTATGAACCCGTCATTGCAGGACGATATGTTGGACTGTCTGGGACTGATCACTGTGTTTTCATTGTGTTTGCCAGGTACATTATTTAATATTTACTGTTTTTCCCAACTCATGTGTTGTGTTCACTGGATTATTATTCGCGCCAGCTAAGGGAGAGGTCGTGGACGACATGTTGGACTGTCTGGGACTGATCACTGTGTTTTCATTGTGTTTGCCAGAATAAAGTGATCTGTTTGAGGCGTGATTGGGTGTCAAATCTCATCTCTACTACACACAACGCAGAGAAAATCGAGTTCTAACCGTTACATAAGGACAACATTATTTTAATGTCCAATAACAAGGTCAAATGACTTCGATATTTGGTTGATTTTAGATTGTTAGAAAGTGACGAAATTTAAAGTCGAGCCAACATTTTAAACCAACATCATATTGACGTCAAATACTGACATTTATTCGTCAGGTATGGCAACCAAAATCCAACATCTCATAGACGTCATAGTGGTAACATCCACACAACGTCAAGCTGTAACATCATTAGATCAACTATCATGTTGATCTAACAATCCATTAGATGTTGATATTTGGTTGATTTTAGGTTGGACGTTGATGTCAGCTCTGACATTTGGTTCCGATGTAAAAACAATTTTCATTTCCAAACAAAATGCAGCGTCCCATGACATTGGGGTATAATGTTAATTTGATGTCATGTTGACGTCTTGTGCCGGCTGTGTTCAAGGCCATTTTAATCATCAAGCAGTAAACATCCGTCATCTTCTCATCTGTGAAATGCATCTAAACAGTCTCTGGGTCGTTGCTTGTGAAGCTTTTGCACATCTTCTTGGACACTTTTAATGCTTCTAAACAGTTTCTTGCATTTATAAGTCATCCATGTATTGGGGTAGTTCTTTATGATGTGATTTTACCTTCTATGTGTGATTTGATTGGACGGGAATCACAGGACTGATTTTTCTGATCCCCATAGACGAGACAAAAATAAAGTAGTGACTGCAGGTTGAAGGAAAGTATTGGAGTAAAAGTACACATTTTTAAAATAATTTGTAAATTACAATTCCTTATAGAAAAACTACTCAATCACAGTAGTTTGAGTATTTATAATTTACACCACTGGTAATACAACATCATATTGAAAACAAAACAACAACAACAACAAAAAAAAGTGTAACAAACTCTTGGTCTCACTTTATATTAAGTGGCCTTAACTAATATGTACTGACACTGAAATTAATCATTTGTTTAAATGTACTTACTGTGTAAATATGTTTTTTACATTGCACTTTTGATTGATTAAATACCTGCATATAATTACATCTGTAATTAATATAAGTACATTAATAAATACACTGTTGACCATCCCATACACTTTAACTCACCCTTAAACCTACCCATACCATCAAGCCTGTCTCTAACCTTTCTCAGATCCCACCTCAAGAGCACCCAGAAATGTTCTGCAATACATTGTGAACACAGTAAGTACATTGTATTTATATTTTTATGTACATAAATAGCAATTAAGGCCACTTAATATAAAGTAGGACCAAATTCTTTAATCAACAAAGTGCTGAAAAAAATTAATGAGATTTTTTTTCATGTGGCTTCAGTGTTTGTGAGAGATTTTGCCTGACTTATGTTCCAGACTGATGTCATAAATTAGGCTTTTGTCTGTGCAGAAAGATTAAAATATCATTTATCAAGAGCAATAAGAGAATAATAAACATGTTTTTGTCATATTATTGCACTGCTGAACAAAGAAACTCTCAAACAATTGTAACAGTTTGTTGTTGTTGTTCAGTATTCTGATAAAGTATAAATCAATGGATAAATATTAGGATTTTAAATACAACATAATTATAAAAGTTACCTTTATGAAGATAAAACAATGTGAATTTTGCTCTTTATTATAAATAAATAAATACTGACCCTGATTAAGTACTGATTTCATTATGCATTGTCATGATATTAGTTTTATATTAGTAATAATACGCACAAATACATCATATGCAATTTAAATACGTAGTCCTAGCCAATAGATTTGAACTTTTTTGCATATACTAAACTGAGAAAGTTACTCACGATGTAATATAATCAATCTATTCCACTCCTATTGATATTGCTGCTTTTTAACAATTTAATTTATCAAATAAGCAGTTTTTTATTATTTTGCTTAGTTGCACTCCTTTTCATTGTTTGTGAACTCTACATGTAGTTTCTGACAGAAAACAGTTTTTTTTTTTTTTTTTTGCAGCTCATTTGTTCATGGTAGCACTCTAGTATTGCACCGCAAACGGAGTGGTGCGCGTTACCGTGCGCGCACACACATTGTCTGATATGCGCGCGCACGGGGGTCGGTGCGCTATTAAAGCCGCGAGTAGACGCGCGGTGCTATCAGACAGTTCTGTCCTGGAGTACTGGAAACCCGAAAGAGAACATATGGACTGAAAGAAAGACGTTTACTACTGTACCATCAGGACCGCAAACCACGTAAGTTCAACTGATATTCAACAGGTTTTTAATACAGGCGCAGCTTTGGGAAAGTTGAAATACGCATTGTATATCAGTACAAGTTATGTTTCTCAAAACGGAGGCGCGCAGACAGAAATGTGTTGCGGAATGTGGAGATGACGCGCGGTAGTTTTACTGTAACAGGTGTTGACAGGATCTGTTCTTTAAATAATACAGTAAATACGCTCATTAAGCGCTTATTCAAGGCACAACGGAGCTACTCTGATTAAACAAGTAATTAGCATTTTGTTTAAAAATGTCCTCTAATTTAAAAAAAGTAATTATTATTATGAATTATTTATAAAGTGTTTGGTGCTATTAAAGGTTTTTTAACTTGCTCTATCCAATATTTAATTGTTATTATTGATTTTGTAAGTATTTTTAGAGACACTTGTTGCCATGGTAGGCTATATTTTTGAGCAGTCAATCACCACAATCACGCGTAAAAGTCTTTAGTATATCAGACAATGCAGATGTCTGTAAAAAGACGACAGGACTGATGTATGTAATCAATATGATTTAGTTATGATCATAAAGTTCCCCCTTTTGCAGCTTCATCTCACTGTTGTGCTTTTGCTGCGCAATATATATTTCATATCACAGTGTGCTGCGGTCTCTAAACACTGACCTGCAGCTGCTGAGCGGAGGACTTCTTTAGTGGGGGAAGCGATGTGCATCAAATATATGGAGAAATAACAACATATAACATGTTTTTATTTGCCTAGCTAATAAGTTTTTATCAGTTTTTAACTTTTAAAAGAGAAAAATAAAGTAATAAAATTTTTTTTTTGATGATTTTATATTGAATGTTTTATAGGACTACATTAGCTGACTTCATTACATATACCAGTTAATATTTTAAGGTTTAGATATTTTTTTTTTACATTTAGAGACCAACAAGTGTTTATTATTATGGAGTATTAATAAGTATAGAGACAATATAAAATATTTAATATGTTGAAAATCAAATACTTGAAGTATACAAATCAGATATACAGTGCCCAGCATAACTGAGAGCACCCTATTTAAAATGAATATTTTTATCATTTCTCAATGAATATAGGCAATGTAATTTGGTGCATTTAAACAAAACAGATTCATTAAACAGATATATTTATTACAATAATATTTAAGTCATCAGACATATATAGAAATTGAAAGATAATACAATTAAATTCAAGCAAAAATAAATTACAATCAAAAAAATTCAACAAATGTTTTTACATTTTTGCTTCTTTTGATTTTTCCCTTTTTTTAAATTGTATTTAATATTTTTCTTTAACATAAATTTGGGTGTGCTATAGTTTTTGGACCATTATCGAATTTATTTTGTTAGATGAGCTCCAGATTTGGCTTCAGTACTGACTAATCTAATGTATATGCACAAATATAATATTGCATAGCTTCCTATTAAAAATATGAATTTAAAAGATAGTGAGGAGTGTACTTATATATGCTGAGCACTGTATCCAGGTCGATTATTGCGTCTCCCTCAGCTTTATTATAAAAATAAAGATTCCATCAGCTCATTTATTTCTCATGTTGTGTGTTTCTTCTCGATTGTTAGTCGCTTTGGTTGAAAGCGTCTGCTAAATGACCAAATGCAAACGTCATCTTTATAGCTACACTTTAATAGTATAAATATTAAGGTAAGGCAAATATATTTCATCTACTGTAACATCTAATCCACTACTAACTAATTTAGAAATATGTTTAATGTGTATAAATCAACTTGATTTACATAACATAACTAATTAGTACAGGGAAAAAAGCTTCATTTTCAGTTATAGTGTACCTGTAATTGTTTAATATATGCGCACATTGTGCTGGCTGGCTTTTTGAAGCCATATGTATACATTGCATGTATTATGTAAATAAGTCTAGTGGGTTGAGCAGCATCTCCACAAGTTGATAATGTGGAAGGAGGCAGGTGTCAGCTTTAACAATCGCTTTCTACTCTAAGCAATGTGTTAACATAGTGTCAGAATCTCTGAAGGATCCACTGGGTGACAGTGTACCCAAAGCAGTGAGGAGGTGGACTCATTTCAGTTTGCGTTTGCATTGTTGAATCGCAGGTGTCAGTGTGGGTTGATGATTCTCCGTCTCTTACTCTCTGTGTACACAGGGTGCGATTGCACGTCTCTCCCAGACCTCTCTGAGAGATGTGGCTGCTGGAAAAGATCCGCGGTTCAGTGGAGGGAAACGTTCTCCGGCAGGGAGACTCTGCAGACAAACAGAGCAAAGCCCCCACCTACAGCAACGTCCTCACCCCTGATAAGATTCCCGACTTCTTTATTCCACCCAAGTTGGTGTGCTGTCCTCCAGAGGAGGAAACACCGGAGATGAAGCCAAAAAATGGGCTTCACTCCTCGACTTCTGAGCAGACCATATGCTGCAAGACGCCGCAAGGCAGTCCGCGCAGCCCACGCCTCATTAACAAGCTGGCTGGAGACACCAAAAACTTGCTCAAAGCTGCAAACCGCCACATCATCCAGATTGAGAGCGCAGATGACTTGGTTGTTGGGGATGCAGGCAACCTCACCACAAATGCAGACCCGCAGTCTCAAACAGCCATGTCTCTTCCTTATGTCCCCAAAGCGCAAACCTCCTACGGTTTCGCCACACTGATGGAAAGTCCTCACACGAGGCGTAAAGAGTCCCTCTTTCACAGTGACCCAACAAGTCCGCTCACCTCGCCCAACACCCAACGCAAGTCACAAGGAAACCACTTAAACCCCAGTGACTGTAACACTTCCCACTCCAATCCCTACCGCTACTTCAGCGGCGGAGAAAGCGACACTTGCTCCTCGGCCGAATCCTCCCCGTTCAACTCCCCTTTGCTATCCCGTTCTGCATCCCTCCTTAAGATGTTCACCCACGAAACCCAAGCCAAAGTGTCCCGCGCCAAGCGCTCCTTTGCACGCCACAGTTCGCTCTCCACGGATGAGTGTAGCTCTGTGGAGACCAGTCCCAATATTCAGAGGCGCTTCCGTTGCCCTCCATCTCCTGCTTTCAGAGGACGGAAATATGGAGGCAACATGGACAGATTCACACAACACACCGTCAACCTCCACAAGGGAGGAACTCTACGCATCTGCACGGACTACGATATTGACGCCGCGAGGCTTCACATTCGTGTTTTGGCGGCCGAGGATCTCTATGACAAGCAGTGTGATGCTAAGAGCATAAATTGTTGCGTGTCTCTGTACCTGAACCCGGGAAAGCTCCAGAAACAGAGAAGCACCATTATCAAGAACAGCCGCAATCCGGTTTTCAATGAGGACTTCTACTTTGACTCCCTGCCTGTTGCACAGGTGAAAAACCTTGCCATCAAGATGAAGGTTGTCAACAAGGGCACCAGCTTGAAGAGAGACAACCTTTTGGGGGAGAGGGAGGTACCCCTGAAAGAGCTTCTTTCTGGGATCTAGAAGTCCGCTTTTTTAAACCACGTGGCCACAAATAAATCAATGCAGTCTTCAACTGGATGCCAATTCACACCACACAGATGATCGCCAACCAAGTCTGTTGGAGTTTGTTGGATCTGTGTTACCCCTGTTGGCATTCCTCAGAATCTGTTGTCACCTGACTGAAGATTTTTAATTGCCGTTTGATGGCTCGGGGGAACATCAGTGTAATATTATTTTCCAACAAATGGCAAAAAATTGGGACTTAATTTGACCAGGGACCAGATAGATTTCTTTCTTCTTTTTCTTGTTTCTAGTCTGAATATCAAAAGTAGGAAAAGCATTTTGCAGTCTTTTAGTCCTGAGAAGGATCCATTAATTAAGTGTTCAATTATTGTGCGTAGCACTTGTTGTGGCATTGTAAACATGAAAGTAATTTTATCACATCAATCTAAATTGAATTGCAAACTTGTTTGTTGGTGTTTGTTGGCCTTTATCTTTGCAGTGTGAACTGGCCTTAACAGGCAAGGCCTTAACTTGGATGCTCAAATGGCTTATTTCTACTGAGTGGTACGATACGGTACGGGTCGGTACAGGTCACTTTTATCAGGCTTGCATTTTCACTGCCAAAAGGGTACTCTTGGTGGGCGTGGTTTACGACAGAAACTTTCAGTCGACGTCATTCTCTCCTGGGGAAATGTCTACAGTAAAGCTGTACGGGTCGTTCACATATCATATAAGAAGCACTTGTCACAAAACAGATGCTTTATACATGTAAACACTTGAGTATAAAGGTTCATTACCAACATTTATATTGACCTTATTCTCTGCAGACGAGCGGGCGCTGCCATTTGAATCTTTTTGGCACGAGACTTCCGGTCTCATTCACTTCCATTAATTTTTAGACATTAAAAACTGCTCGTTTCGCTGTCTGATGTTGCAAACTGATATTTCCTTGTTATATTATCTTACTTGGTCTTTATAGTCATGCAAACATTTGTTTGTAGAGCAAGTAGTTTGACCGTTTTTTGCCGTTTATTATTCCTTGTCATTTCTCCCATAGGCGACTGAAACGGAAGTTCTAAAACAATCGCGAAAACAGGCGCACTTCCGCATTTTAGAATAAGGTCAATAAACAGGATTTGATTCTAACTGCAGATCAATGATAGTGGGAAGTAGCCTACTGTAATGTCTGCAATTATATAAAATATATAAATAAATTATTATATGTGAACACGTGCAAGCCCTTACAGTCACCGATATGTTACTAATTTCAGAAAAACTGCACACAGCATAGGCTCAGTGCTTATTTGGGTTAAAAAACAACACACAACATGTAGCTCACAGTCAGTGCAAACCTCTCATCTTTATCTTTAATTTTCAGCAGCACATGTAACCCCTGTTAGAGAGTCATTCCATCATTTCGAGTTCATAATTGTCTAAAAGGCGATGATAATAGATAAACATGGCAGTTTGTTCATGTTTAGGTTGCTGAAGGAATCATTTACTCCTTTGTTTTTTTTCCAGATTCTCCTTCATTTCTACATTTCTAAAAAGATTGGGTCTCAGAAGCATTTCAATAATCATGCGCACGTTATTATCATCAGATTAATGAAGTTCGTTATTTAGACTATAGACAAAGCAAAAATGAAACCGTTTGCACTTAAGACGGCCTTGTAAACAACTGCAGGGCACAGGGTAGATTCCAGGGCCGGAGTGGGACTCCTTTCCAGCCCTGGAGTTTCAAGCCTTGGACCGGCCCATCTCAGTTCACGACTGACTATTAAAATAAGGTCATTTCCAATTCAGTGTCTAAGGACACTGTCACGTTATTTTTCAAGAAAACAGCTGCTTTAGAACTTCAAATTTCCAACAACCCTAACAGTATTATATGTCTTAATAAAAAATGAAAAAAAAAAAAAAAGTTTTTCAGATGAGGTTCAAACACGGATCGGCCGTGTCATAATTTAACGTGCTGACCACTGGACAACAGTGGCACTGTTAATCTTATGTGGCTGGAATGAAAAACAAATGTGGCACTATGACCTGCAAGACTTTTATTGATGGCTTAATCTTTTTTTCTCCTTTTTAGATTTCTGATCAAGTTATGTCAGATTTATTAATGTAGTGAATCATCTGATTTTCATTGAGCAGGTGTATTATTAATCAATATTAATTATTCGAATTCTTACATTCACTAAGGTGCTGCTGTTTAGAGTCGAATGATGATAGTTACATCATTAATAATTTGCAGGCTGCTTTTTGTTTACGGGGCTGCGAGAAAAAAACATAAAAAGAGCGGAGCTGCGGCAAATAATGAATAAAAAGACTGAGGCTATGATCAAATAAATAAAAAAAAGTGCAACTGCTGAGAGTGCAAGCAGCTAGGGACACCGGCCCTCGTGGCCAAAAAATGGACCGGCCCACCGGGAATTCTCCTGGTTCTCCCGATTAGCCAATCCGGGCCTGGTAGATTCTGCTCTTCTTCTTGGCTTTGTGGCTGTTCATTAAGATGACGACAAGGCTTGTTTGAGCTTGGGTCAACCATGGCTTGTTATTATATGTATATATTATTACGGTGTAATGTCTCGGCTGTGTATTTAATAATAGTAGTTCCTTTGTTTTCATTCTCCTGGCTTGTGTACAAGCTAGTGACATAAGGGTACCCAAAAGGTGCTACGATATGATTCCTGAGGACCTTTTGACAGTACCATACTGTATTGTACCACTCAGTGGAAACGGGCCCAAAAAAATTGGGTCCCACTTAGTTGCAGGACTCTTCGCTAACTGTGTGCACCTTCCTTGTTTGTTTACCAGCAGTGAGAGTGTTGTGTGTGTCAGATCTTCTGTTTTTAAAGCTCACAAGTGTACAGGCATGCTTTGTGCATGCTCCAGGATTTGTGTTTGTGTTGAGATGCAACGTCTTCTTGATTCCAGACCCTGCTGGGTCTCACTGATGGAGACATCAATAGATAAAAAACATGTTGTATCTCGATTGCAACAGCGCATTCTCGTAGACTGATGCTTTGAAGTCACTTTAGGCTAGACGCAAATGCATGAAGCTGTTTAAGCCTTAAATGTGACACATATATATATATACACCCCCCTCCCTTGCTTTGATACGATACCAGTGTTTCACCTAATGCCTCTTTAATTCCACTCTCTAGAGTTCAAGACTGTGACATTTTTTCTCTAGATCTCACTGTAAAACTGATGGACTTCTGCTGTGTTTCTTTCTGAATATGTGCCGTAGAAAACACCCTTCAGCCTTACTGAGTGACAAGCTGCTCATTTTGAGTGACACAGAACTTTAGAAAGGGGCATGACTTGTGATTGGGCAGAACAAATGACATCATCATGATGAATGTCATGGCATTGTGATTTCTGTAAATAGAACGCTGTCCTAAATCTGCTTCTTTGTAGCAGCATCTGAAATTACTCATTATGCATTTGATAAAACTCTGGAGGAAAAAGTTGGAAAGAAATAGTTTAAACATAACCGTGCCAAAAAATAAACTATATATATATATATATATATATATATATATATATATATATATATATATATATATACAGTTGAAGTCAGAATTATTAGCCCCCTTGACCTATTAGCGCCCCTGTATATTTTTTTTCATAAGCATTTTTTTTCTAAGCATAATAGTTTTAGAAACCTATTTCTAATAACTGATTTATTTCATCTTTGTCATGATGACAGTAAATAATATTTTTCTTGATATTTTTCAAGACACTTCTAAACAGCTTAAAGAGACATTTAAAGACTTAACTAGGTTAATAAGGTGATCTAGTTAGGTTAGGGTAATTAGGCAAGTTATTGTATAATGATGGTTTGTTCTGTAGAATATCGAAAAAATGGCTTAAAGGGGCTAATAATTTTGTCCCAAAATTAATTTTTAAAAAATTCAAAACTGCTTTTATTCTAGCCGAAATAAAACAAATAAGACTTTCTCAAGAAGAAAAAATATTATCAGACATACTGTGAAAATTTCCTTGCTCTGTTAAGCATCATTTGGGAAATATTAACAAAAGATAAAAAAAATCAAAAGGGGACTAATAATTCTGACTTCAACTGTATATATAGACATGGACCTAGACGCAGGACCACAAACATGCTATTTAATTTCGATTTATACATCACCTGAAAGCTGAATAAATAAGATTTCCAATATACATTCATGTATATATTATGTAAAGATGCATAAATTGTTTTGACAGGACAACACATGAGGGTTAAACATATTCGGGTGATGTATCATTATAATACCAGGTACTGTGGCAATACCATGCTTTTTAAGAAGTATTATGTCAAAACCATAATATTCTTTGAAGCTGTGTCATGCCATTTTTCATCACATAGTCAAAGTTTTTCAAACTTCAATCCGTATATTGTATCCCTGCAGAAGCACAACGTCATAAGGCCATAATATTAGGTTAGATTTAAGTCACCAGCATCTAGGGATAATGTTATTTTGACGTCCAATAACAACATCAAATGTCATTGATATTTGGCTGATTTTTAGGTTGTGTTGGAAAGTAAATAAAATCCAACGTCGTGTTGACATCAAATATTCCTGACAATTATTAGTCAGGTATTGCAACTAAAATCATGGCATTCCTGTCAACATTGGTATGTGGGAAAAAAGGATATATATATATATATATATATATATATATATATATATATATATATATATATATATATATATATATATACTTTGTTAAATATTATATTAAAATAACTAAATACGTTCATCCGGAGCTGTTTTATTGTAAAATATCAGTTAAACTTTCAGTAATGTTTTATATATATTATTATTGTTATTATTTTTTACAGAATAGAATAAATAGTACACATTAGAGAAAGCCGCAAATAAATTAGCAAATTATTAAACAGTTTTAACCAAAATCGACATCTTTAGATATTATTATTATTATTATTAATTATGTGCATATGTCTGTTCAAACACACACCCAAACCCCAGACGTTTGCTCCGCTTCAAATAGCGTGTGCAATCAGTGTCTATTCATCACTATGGAGCGCGTCTGACAGACATGCACCGATACATGACTGTTTTTAGGATTTCATAGGAGGGGCATTGGCGCCTGTAATTGAAAGGAAGGGAATCCCTCCATTTTTATATTTATTTCGGGGTGTTTTCATGCCTAAATAAAACGAAAGCACAAAATCCACGGGCGGCCCCGGGTGGTTAGGCGATATGGATTGCATACTATTGCCACCCTTCATAGAAAGATTAAAAATATGGGAGAAAAAATAGGAAAAAATCTTTATGGATTGATAGCGGGATAGAACTGTAAAATATGGGAGAATCCCGGGAAAAACATGAGGGTTGACAGGTATGGATAGTGGTAACATCCACACAACATCAAGCTGTAACATCGTTAGTCATTGATATTTAGTTGTTGGACATTGGACATTGACGTCAGCCTGACGCTGGGTTATAAATGCCAGCGTCTAAATACAACATTATTTTGATGTCCAATAATGCCGTCAAATGACGTTGATTTTAGGTTGTTAGATAGTGACCAAAATCCAACGTCAAGCCAACATCTTAAACTAACATCATATTGACCTCAAATACATTTATTCATCAGGTATGGCAACCAAAATCCAACATCTGATAGACGTCATAGTGGTAACATCCACACAACGTAAGCTGTAACATCATTAGACGTTGATATTTGGTTGGATTTAGGTTGGACGTTGACGTCAGCTCTGACGTTGGGTTCTGACTTCAACCCAATTTTCATTCCTTAACAAAATACAACGTCCCATGACGTTGGGGTAAAACGTCAATCTGATGTCAAGTTGGCGTCCTGTGCCTGCTGGGATGTTATTCTTTG